CTTGCCCCTCCCCTCGGCCGAGCCGGGGGCTCGGCGCCGCACGGGGCGGCTCAGCAGCGCCCGCAGCTTGGCCTCATTCTGTTCGGCGATGGCCCCGATGGTGCCGTATACCAGCTTGTCCTCAGGGATGCCGTGTCGCCGGAGCCAGCCGCCACAGGCGAAAGAGTAGAAGTCCTGGCAGGGGTCGATGGTGGCATCCATGTTGGCGCTGAGGAAGCGGGATGCCCGCAGGAAGGCCTTCTTCTCCTGGCACCCCTCCAGGCAATAGCTGTCCCCTTCAGCCGCCAGGTACTTCAGGACCAACATACACGTCAAGATGACGCAGAGCCCCGCAGCAAACACCAGCCCGGAGAGCAGACAGACCTCCCGGCGGCTCCAGCGTGGCAGCCCCCCGCGGCGTTTCTTCGCCCCGGTGCCCAGCTGGAGGGCGAAGCCGTTGGGCAGGGTGCCGCTCTGGTACTTGCTCACATACTTCACCTCCTGAAATTCGTCGTAGTGGGCCGTCAATGAGTAGGTCTTCTCCATGGCCGGGCACAGGGTTCCCTGCAGGCAGCCGGGGTGCAGGGGGTTCAGGGCAGGTGGGGGGCAGGCTCCGGCACCCCACGGTTCATGCTGGAGCCGTGCCCACCTTGGGGAGGTGGTGGAGGGTGCCCGGGTGAGTCAGGAAGCTCCTAGAAAAGGCAGAGGAGGTGGTTGAGGGGGGTTTGGGGAGGAGCAAGGGGGGGAAGGGGGGATTGCTTCTTGCCGTCATCGCTGCCTGCGTCGCCATCCCTGCCTGTGTGCCCCGCTCTACCCCATGCCTGTCCCCTCTGCCAGCCCCTCTGGTGACAGGGCAGGCACAGTCCCAGGCGGGTTTGAGCTTGGCACAGCTTCATCCCACACACACCCCCTATGCCCACCCAGCGCACCAGCGAGAGCACCCACATCAGGTGGGTGTCCGGGGTGGTCCAGCGAGCCCATCCTCACAAGGCACTGGGAGATCCATTCCCAGTCTGAGGGGAAGAGGGTGTGTGTCACAGGGCTACCAGTCCCTCTGGGTGGGGTACGGATCAGGGTGAGCAGCTTCGGCAAATGGGGTTTCGGGGAGATTTGAGGGGCTCTGGGGAGATTTGTGGGGAAAGGCATTGGGTTGGGGTGTTGAGGGTTGGACCGGGTTGTGTGGCCCTGCGTCAGGTTGCATTGCGTTGCGCCGTGGTGTTGCATTGTGTTGGGTTGGGTCATGGTGCGCTGTGTTGCATTGCGTTGTGTCAAATTGTAGTGCGGCGTGTGATGTGTGCGCAAAGTTAATTCCAGTCTCGGGGGGAGCCCTGGACCCCATGGACATCTCCCAGTGTTTCCCCACCACCACCACCACCACCATCCACCCAACCCCTCTCCACTGACTGGTGACCGATGGCAGGGGTGCCTGGCAGGGGTGTCGTGCCAGGGAGGGGGGTCTGTGCATGGGGAAAGGAGCATGGGGGCATAGGTGGGTTTGGGAGAGGGGAGGACGCTTCAAAAGGGGACCCAAATCCTTGCTCGGTGCAGAATGGCATCCGGATTTGCAGATGGGAGAGGACATGCTGGGGACAAAGAGCCACTCTGGAGGTGGCCAGTATCCCTGCGGTGGGGGTCCCCCAAATCCCGCAGCCCCCCTCTCCCTCCACAACTTGGGCAAAGTTGTGCCCCAGTGCCGCAGCCCGGTGGTGCCCGTGCCTGGGACCTGCTGCCGCCGCTGCTGGCTGCTGCCGGAAAGTTTGCGGGGCCGGCGGCGGGCATGGCACGACGCGGCGGGGCGCGGGGGGGCCGGGGGGCTGCCCGGGGGGCTCAGAAGATGCTACTCGGGATGCTGCCAGGAGGCTCGGGGGTGCCCGGGGGGCGCTGCCCAGGATTCACAGGGGATGCTGCCCGGGATGCTCGAATGATGCTGCCCAGGATGCTCGGGAGGTGCTTGCCGGGATGCTCGGGAGATGCTCGGGAGATGCTCAGGAGGTGCTCGCCGGCATGATGCCTGTGGTGCTCGGGGGGATGCTCGAGGGTTGCTCGAGCGATGCTCGGGAAGTGCTCCCCGGGATGATGCCCGGGATATTCGGGGGGTGCTCGCGGGGTGCTGGTCGGCAGGCTCGGGAAGTGCTCTCCGGGCTGCTCGGCGGG